TCCTGCAGAGCAGGGAGCCCGATGTGGGGCTTGATCCCAGGACCCTGGGATCATGACCTGAGCCAAAGGCAGATGCTTAACGACTGAGCCACCCACGCGCCCCTGAAAATAATTTTTAAATGATTGTGTTCTCTTATAGCTATGTCTGGTGAGAACAGAGAAAATACATTGTTTTATTCTGAAATTCCCAAAACCATCAACAGAGCAGCAGTCTTAATGCTCTCTTGGAAGCCTCTTTTGGATCTTTTTCAGGTAGGATTAAACAATGCTGTTCCTGTGATTGGTGTACATTTTCAGATACTGCCTTTACTGAGAGGCAGAAATTCAAGTGGGGTTTTATATTTGAAGTAGAGGTGACTCAAAAAGAATTAAAATATTTTTATAGTTTTGAATGTATGACTGTTAAATTCCATTTAATTCTCAACATCTGAAAGTAAGGGATATTATAATTCTGAGTTTTAAAACTAGCTTCTCCCTGTTTAATCACCTTTCCCCTCTATAAACTTGTTAGTTATATAGTTCTCACATTTGGGGGGAAGAGTTGTTCATATAAAAGTAATTATATTTCCAGAAAGCTTTTTATTTAAATCTTTAAATTGAATTGTAGTTCTAATACTTAGTAACAGTGCTAAGTTAAGGGTTAAGGAAAGATACTAAGTTCAGTTTTTGTTTCTAAATATAGAATTCAGTTTATGTAGAATCAAAGCTTAAGGGTTGTTTTTGTTTTGTTTTGTTTGTTTTTTTCCTCAATATCTTATCTTTACACAAAAAGCAAATAGTTAAAAACACCCCAAGAACAAGATGATAATTTGGGTGTAATTGCCCATTTGGTTCTCATTTATTATTTTACATTGGGTGTTTCCTTATTAAATAGCATTTTGGGTTAAATGAACTAAAATGTGATATTATTCTTAGGAATTAAAAAAATAATTTCCATGATAACTAATCATTTGACTGTAACTATTTATCAGGGCTGTTGTTTTTCACATAGGCTTATGACTTTTCTTTAAAACAGAAAGAACCAAAATAATGGTAGTTTCCTCATGGAACAGTTTGCAAATTAATAAATCAAAGTTGTTTGTTGTTGTTGTGTGTTTTTTTTTAAAGATTTTATTTATTTATTTGACAGAGACTCAGCGAGAGAGGGAACACAAGCAGGGGGAGTGGGAGAGGGAGAAGCAGGCTTCCC